AATATATAATTGTAATGTTACTCTAGTGGTTGAATGATTCCATCCATGTGGGCACTCCCACTACTGGTGTGCATCCCAGTCTTTCCACCTCTTTTGATTCTGGGAAATTCTTGTCCATATTTTCCCACAGTTTTTCTATAAATCTATGAAACAAGCTGGAGGCTTTTCTCTTTTCCTTTTAATGTCTTGGGAGAATCAGGAGACCCCTCAGGCTATCCCTTTATTGACTCTTAGATTGTTCCCCTCTCCTTTTCTGGTCAGATATGGCCTTGACAATTTGATACCATCATTCATGCACACATAATCATTCATAACACTTTAAAACCTGATTCTACCCATTGAAGGTCTTTTCATGGTCTCTGTGTCATTTGCAATTTTAAAATTTCCAAAAACTATAGTATCCTGTAGTTGTAGTTATAGAGGACCATTGGGGAAATATTTGTTTTAAAGAGATTATTTTGTAACAATGATCAGTTTGATATAATTGAAAGGATTGCATAACTTCCCAAGTATGATCCTTTCCAATCTCCATACTCAGTCATGAGCCTAATGATCCAGAAACATATCATCATTTGGACAATTCTTATTCATTTAAGCACCATCACCATAATTATTTAAGAGAAGAGAAACTAAGTTTCCTCATCACCTGAGGACCAGCTTCTGTACCTGATACTCTCCAATTTTAGCTCAGCTGGTCCTGAGAAGACAGACACACAGTCCATCACCTAGACTCTACTGGAAGGCTTTCCAGCTTGCTTTGGGATATGCCAAAACGTGTACTCCACTGGCATTGCCTTTGAAGAGCTAGGATCTACAAGCCAAGACAAGTCTATAACAGACATCTCATTGTTTTAACAAGCACAAGTAAAGAAATGAGTTCTCACTTGGGATCTCTTGTTAATTTCCACAGTGCCCATTTTTCACATTCTAATTTGTAATAGTTTCATGTATAGGTGTCTCATCTCCCATACTGGACTGTAAGCTGCTTGAGGGAAATGGTTAAATTTATTTTTTCCTTTTTTTTTTAAACCCGGTATTTCTCCGTTTGATCTCTGAATGGTTTGGGATCTAAGCAATAGTTAGTGGGCAATTAACATTTGTCAAATTGAAGTGCAGAAATGGAGGGCCATTACTTCCCTCTAAATCCTTCAGTAGTTGCCTCACAAATTGCCTGGCTTGAAGTTTAAGATAAAATAAAATAAACTATTTATTTTACATATATGTGCATTTATTTGTCCAGACAAAGAGAGGGTTGGGCATTAGGTGGGACAGGCAGAGATGAGTAAGTTCTAATGAAGGCTCCAAGTCTCAAAGTTGGAAATTTTCACAGCAAGTTTAATAGCCATGTTTCCGGTCTCTGCATTTTGTCTATTCAATGTATTTCTCAACCATATCTGCAAACTCCGGGCTCCTCAGCTTCTTTTGCTCCCAGAAGATGTTCTAGAAGTTCAAAAAGAGAAAACTTGGGGGCAGCTACGAGTTGGTGTGGCTTACAAAACACCCCCGCTGATCTTCTCACCCTTTCTCCGCGTCCTCCTAATCCAGTCTGAAAGTGGGTGGTACTATCCTCTTCAGCCCGCCTCACCCCCGCCCTCCAGTTCCCGCCCCCTGCAGGGGGGTGAGCTCAGGTACTGGAGGAGATGGTGGTGGTGGTGACAGGGAAGCGGAGGTGGGATGGGGGGGCAGAGCTGGTTTTGTAAAACGGTGTAAAGCATCATGTATGTATATATATGCTTGTGTGAGAGAGTATATAGAAAGGGACGAATGCTCCCACGAGCCCCAGGCACTGGAGAGGAACGGACAGCCTAGAACTCTAAATAATTGATTCCTCTTTAGCCGCATCATAAAACAGGAGGAACCCTTGTGGAGAACCTAAAGGAAATGTTGCTTCAGCACCACGGACAGCACTAGATCAGGTTGACACTAGACTTTCCTGAGCTTTTACTTATGGTGGTCCTGGGGCCAAAGGTTCAGAGACCTCCAGTCATCAGACTCTGAAGCTTTCCTTCTTTTGGGGTGGGGACCAGGGCTGATATATTCTCAGTAAGAGAAGGTGGCATACTCTGTGTGTGTGTGTGTGTGTGTGTGTGTGTGTATCGGAGGGGGAAGCGGGGGTGGGAGGAGAAGAGGTACTCCTTCCCCCTGTCAGAGTCTCGGGCTTGAGCTGGGCTTCTGCATCCCACCAAGAAACCAGCTCTGAATAAGTCCCCAAGTTGGCGAGGGGGCGCACCTGCCCCCTTCTTCCTCCTAGGCGGCGGCAGTGGCGGGAGCAGAAGCAGCAGCAGGAGCGGGAGCGGGAGCCCGCCCCCTCCCCGGGCTGTGCGGAGCACGTCCAGGGACACCCCCCCCCTTTTTTTTTACCATTGCTGGAAAGCATTGCAGCGAGTCGGGCGCGCCCTTCTAATTCTGGTCTAGGAGCAGAGAACCGGGAGCTGGGACCCGAGCGTGGAGCTGGACTGCAGGAAAGCTGAGAGCAACCTCTCCTGATTCTCCCACTCTTCTCTCCTCCTCATTTGGCTCTACCCTCTGACAGAGAACGCGGGGATCCCCTGCCATCTCCTCCCCCCGCCCCACACGCACGCACACACGGGTGCGCGCGCCCCGAAAGGCTAGGCTGCGGAGAAGGAGCTCTGTGGTGTTGGAATAGCCGAGGACTCATCCTTGCTCTTGTCCAGAGAGAAGCAGAGCGTGGAATACCCGGGCACAGACTCTAAAAGGGACGTGTAGCCATAGGGAAGAGAAGGGAAAGAAGAGAGGGACTGGGGAGGGGGGGTCTCGGCTGGCTTATGGGGGCCAGGGAGTACTGAAAACTGGAGCCGCGGGGCCGCGTTTTTTAGCCCCGGAGATGACTTGGAAGAGCTGCCTTTGGGAACTATGTGGAGGGTGGCTGCGGTGAGTATTGCTAGGAGAAGCGGAGCAGGGGCGCACGGACCTAGCGAGCTCTGCTTGCACTTAGATCCAGAACCAATTTTCCCCCCTGGGGTAGAGGGAGGTGGGGGAATAGGAAGAGAAGGATAGCTGGATTGACAGAGAGGGATTCACTATGTGGGATATTAAGCACACAAGGAAGGAGAGCGGCTGTTTTCTTGGACAGCGGGACTGCTGGAGTGCTTTTCCGTTCTCTTCTTTCCCAATCCTTACTCCTCCTTTCATTAGAAAGATCTCCCCCCTCCCCAACCCTTATTCTCCTTCCCCTTCTGCTTAAGCTTGGTGGCTCCCCGACGCACAACTCCTAGCTACTGGAGACGGGTGAGGGGAGGGTTGCATTGAAAGCCGAATTTGCTTTTTCAGAACGGACAGGGGGTGGGAACTGGATAACTCTGCTGTCCCTCAGCCCCCGGGCTCAGTAGAGTAGGACTTCCCCAGCGTTCTTGACAGCACTGCCGGATGGTAGCGTCTGAGCCACATTTGGGTATATCAATGGGAGCCAAGCTTGGCTCCTCTTTAAGGTCAAGCTTTTCATATGCATATATTTGTACGTTTTACGCACAGCCCCCAGGTTGGATTTATCTTTTCCTTTTCTCTCTCCAACCTCGGCAGAGCTGTGCTGCAAAACCTCCGGCTGGGATAGCCGCCTCCAGTGGGGGCTATGCGGGCAGCGCCGGACGGCCAGGGGAGCGCGCTGGGGTGGCAGGATGGGAGAGCCCCCTAACCTCGGCTGCTGCTGAGGCGGCCGAAATGCTCGACTGCGCAGCGCGCCCCACCGCAGCCTCGACCTTCTCCGGCGATCCTGGTACGTCCCGGCGGGGGAGCTGGGGACCGCAGGGCTGGGGGAGAGAGGAAAAAAAAAAGGTGGGGAGAGCGAATAGAAGAGAACCGCGGGAAGAGGGATAGGTGGCCACCAGGGGGCGCTGCTGCCCTGCTCTCTGTGCCTACCCTCCGCGTGGGGACTGAGGGACTCTCCAGAAGGCAGAGACTCTATAGAGTTAAAGATGAACTTCGCAGGGCTCCGCAGCCCTGGTGAGGGGACGCATGGGTGTGTGCGTGTTCATGGGCGTGTGCACACACGTGTGTGTACACGTGTTTGCCCGTGTGCATGCAAGCGCCAGCTCCTGTGTACACTACATTTATGTGTAGAACTTGTGTGTGCACCTGAACAGTGAGCTGTGTGCTTGCATGGAGCTATGTTTGTGTTTCCCGATCACCTGTCAGCATGGGACGTGTATGCGGATGCATACAGGTGAATGCGGCTGTGCGCCAAATTGCATGGGTCTGAGTGTGTGTGGATCTGAGGGAATATGGCTCGGATCGCTCGCTTCCCCACACATCTTAGCATCTGCCCCACGCACCGAACCCGCGCCCATGTATCGCCATAAGACTTTTCAGTAGGGTCAAACCTGGTGTAAGCTTTCTCCCTCCTCTTCCTCCCCTCCACCCCTTGCCATGCTGCCTTGCAATTGTTCTCTGTCCATCAACGCTCCCAGAACAGAGAGGAACCAGAGAAGGCTACTGGAGAGGAATGAGCTCTGCTCTATCCTGGGGTCACTGAGGGATGTTGGCCCAGCAGGTTCCAAGGTCTCTTATCAAGGCATTCTTCTAACTCTGGACAGCTCCTTGCTCCCTTTCACTCCTGGTTCACTGGGCACCTGTCTCCTCTCTTGTGGAGGGAGGGGGACCTTTGCTCCAGTAGCTGCTTCTAACGCAGGTCTCGTATGCGCTGGATTGAAGGGGTAGTGGTGGTGGGAGAAGAGTGTATAGCTCATTCTCCCCCGCAGCAACGCCAGGCGTGCCCTCATCCCAGACGAGGAGTGTAAAGTGTGCGTGTGTGTGTGTGTGTGTGTTGGGTAAGGGATATTTCACTCTACAAGTAGGACCAGGTTGAGCTTTGAAGCTGAGTTTTATTCCCAGAGGATCTTCCTTCTGGGTATGGGACCGACAGAATCGTGTTCTGCCCTGGTTTGTGGAGTGAAGTTTCTGACTGTCTGGCAATGTAGCTTTCCTTGAGTTGGGGGTCCTCACTCTGCGTGCGCCCTTTCCTGTAGGGATCGCAGCTGGCGACCATGGGCAGACTGGGCTACTGGGCGTTGCTGGTGCTGCCGGCTCTGCTGGTGTGGCGGAGCCCGGCACGAGCTCGCGCGGAGAAGGGGCCCCCGGCGTTGAACATCGCGGTGCTTCTGGGCCGGAGCCACGATGTGACAGAGCGCGACATCCGTAACCTGTGGGGCCGGGAACTGGCAGGTGAGCTTGCTCTCGACGTGAATGTGGTGGCCATGCTGGTCAACCTTACAGACCCCAAGAGTCTCATCACCCATGTCTGCGACCTCATGTCTGGCGCCCGCATCCATGGGCTAGTGTTTGGGGATGACACGGACCAGGAAGCCATCGCACAGATCTTGGATTTTATCTCCTCCCAGACCTTCATCCCCATTCTGGGGATCCACGGTGGTGCCTCCATGATCATGGCTGATAAGGTAATAGGGGGTGAGTGGGCTAGGGATGATAAAGAGGACTCGTGGGGTGGGATGGTTGCCCACACCTGTGAAGTTCGATAAGGGGAGGGAGAGTGGGTGGAGAACTCTGTCTGGGGATACAGTCGGAGAGGCTCAGGATGAGATAAAGACCAGGGTTGTCTCCCATTTATCTCTCCGGGTGAGTGGATACTGGGTAACTCTTCCACAAGATTTTGATTGCTGCACATGGGATGAAATAGCAAGGTCTGTCCTCCAGCTTTTCCCTCTCAGGGGATAGGGAAGGGACACCAGGGTTGACTTTGATTTCATCCCCCCATAACTTTTTCCCTTTCAAGAAGTTGGTGGGAATACTTGACTTACTGCAGTTTTACTAGAAAGATAGCTCTTGAGGAGATGTCTGAATGGAAAGCAATGGGACCGGAAATTAGGGAGAGGGTATTTTCTGAAAAGCTAAAGACTGGGGTGAATTTTGTATACAGTGTGTATGGAAAATACATACTGTAGTCCCCAAACTGGCTATTAGGAATGAAAGAATGCAATGTCTGCAATGGAATCTGAGGTTGAAGATGAAGAACCCATTGGACTCAGGAAAGAGGGGCAGGATTGATATGAAATGTCAAGGTACCTATTTGAAAAGAAGCTTTGTGGGGAACTGGTGAGGGAGAGGAGGAGGAAGGAAGAGTAGAGGGAAAGCCGGAGCAAAATGGTTATGGTATAACCAAGGTAGGGTACTTGGTTAATGCAGATAAAGGAAGGGAACTGATCTGAGAGGTCTCAGAAGAAAAAGAAAAGGGACAGAACATCAGGTTGAGGGACAGAAGTGAAAAGCATGATCTGCTGGAGATGCCTGAATTCATGTACAACTCCAATGGAATCAGAGAATTCGTGGAACATGAGATAAGACAATGAAAGATTAATTTACTTGTTACCAGCAGTAAGGAAGGATCTTCTCCTTCCTTAGACAGGAGGAGATGTAATAAAATAATCCTTTGAGATTTAAATGGCACTTTTCTTTTGGAACTCTGAAGATACTTTCATATACATCAAGCCATATTCTCCTTTTGCCTCGGCAACTGCCTACAATACCTTTGGGGACTATATTAATTCTTCTAGGCCACCAGAGTAATATTTTTTAGTGCACTGCAGCAATAACCTATTAAATATTCATTTATAATACATTATAGGGTGATGTTCAGGGTGAGCTACTCCCAGAGGGTATTTGAGTATTGTCCTCATGACTTGTGGGGCCTCCAATTTTGTTTTACCCTTTTTGGAGGTGCAGGACATAGGGGTGCAACAATGCAGATCTTTGATGAAGGCAGCAGAACCAATCTTCCTGAAAGAATTTAGAGAGAAGACAATCCCAGACAATGTGTCTAGAAGGATAATGAAAATCGAAGGGATAGAAAGAGAAATAGAATAGAATCAACAAAGGCCCCCACTGGGGTGATACTCAGGAGAAGTCAGAGGGTTACCAAAGTAAATGATTGGAGTCCAAGATTATGGAAACATTTGACAATTGTCTTTGAAAGAACTGAGGTATGGTTGAGCTTGGTGGAATGATGGGGAGACTGGAGAATATTTAAGAGGTACTGAGATGAGAAAAAAAAGTAGGGGGTAGAAAACAGACTCTGGGAATGAAAAAGGTGAAAAAAAGTTGGAGAAACAGTGAGCATTAGGTGGTGAGCATTCAACTACCTTCATGAAGTGGTTCCAAGTAGGGAGAAGCCTAAGATTGTCTGAACACAAAGGAGGTCTTATGAAATATTAACTTTTCTTTATTACATTAGTCTTTCATGTAAGTGACTTAAAAAGTACCAGTTCTTTCAGTTATAAGATAGAGGAACACTTAAGTTGTATATGTTGTCTATGGAGATGGAATGTTGGGAAGTTGCCTACAAAACCAATTTTATAAAATCTAAACTCACTTCTCTGGTTGCTGACAAAATAAAAGAATAGTGACCATCTAAGTTACAGACCATGTCCCAAATTTAGATCTTTCTATACTGAGAAAAGCTATCTTCACCTTAGGCCAGACTTATCTGGTAAAGCCCAGAATTATGTCTAGAATAATTATTTTTTGCTGCTAAACTAGCTACATAAAAATGCACTGATTTATAAGAGCAGAAGTTAATTTAGTTAACAGTTAAAATGCACATGCATGCAGTTAGGTCCTGATTAGTGCAAATAATGAATACCATGAAGTGGTCACATTATTTGAATTTGCACTGCATATTTCCATTGGGTTGGAACCATTGACTGTATTTTGCATAATTATAACTTCAAATAATGTGAGAATACAAATACATATGACTACTTCAGGGGACTCATTATTTACACTGATTGGAACCTATCTGTACATTCCTCATGCATGCCCTCTGGTCTCTTGCTCCTTTGAGGGGAAAAAATACTGAAAACATAACAAAGCCTATATACTCAAAAATTTCCATTCAACCAATGCTTATTAATCACCAACTGTGTACAGACAAGTATGGGAAATGTGGGTGGGGAAGAGAGGAGATCCCAATAATTAAATGTTCTTCTGTAATGGAGTTTTTGAGATTGAAACTTAAAGACTTGGACTTCAAAAAGGGGAGAAGTCTTGGTGTGAAATCTCAAGGCATAGAATGAAAAGGAAAAGATCCTTGGTGGATTAGTGGAGGAAGAGAGGGAGGGGAAGGAAAACCAAAGAAAAAGTTGAGGTAAGTTGGTTATGCTGTAACTAGGATTGGAGACCTGGTTAAATAACAGAAAGAGAGAAATGTTACGAGAGGTCACGGATGAAAAACAGAAAGGATGGACAATCAGGTTGATTGACATAAGGAAGAAAGAAATTCAAATAAGCCTAATTCTTGTCCTTGTGAACATCACTGCTTGGTAATGAAGATGAGGTTAAAAGCCAATCTATTTAGTTGGCAATTGGTACATTGTTAATTGCTGCTTTTATCAAAGGGTAACCTTTCTGGTCACTAGTTTAGGAACAAAAAGGGTGCTACTAGTCATAGAAGCAATTTTCCGGAGCTTAGCTCAGGTTGTCCTGTCTCAACAGGAAGAGCCTCAATTAATTTGGGAACAGTTGTGAAATGGCCCATAACAAAGACACATAGGGGTCAGTCATTTCACTGTATACTCAATTCCACTTCCAGGGAGAAAGCAAAGCCTGTGGGCAAAGTGGGTTATATATGTTTAGATGCCAGCAAGTCCATTAATGGTCATTAATAGTCTGTCCTGGTTTTAACCATGTCACATGTCACAGAGTACCATGAATTCTGCAGACAGTAGTTGCTCCACAATTTTTGACTAATTTAATATATTTGTACTTAATTTTTCCTTCTACCTAGGGAAGATATAACTGACCATCTTCAGAGGGCTATTCTGTGAATTTACTACTAAGGTATATCATAGAATTAGAAGATTATGAATTTAAAGCTGAAAGACCTCAAATCTAGCCCAACTCTCTCACTTTACAGATCAGGAAACTGAGGCCTATGGAGAGTAAATGACTTCTTCAAGGTCACAAAGGTAATAAAGCTTAGCAGAAAGAGTCCTCTGATTCCAATTCCAGAACCAATACTCTTTCCACTGGGCAGAGCCTGCCTAACTTTGGGAAAATGCTTCTGAAGAAAAATGAGAATCTTAAAATCCAGCCATCAAGATACCAGGCTTACATGCAAGAGGCATTCTGTAAACAGCCTGACTAAGTAGCAGCATTTTTTTGTTGTTGTTGAGTCATGCCTGACTCTTTGTGACCTCATTTGGGGTTTTCTTGGCAAAGATGCTGGAGTGGTTTGCTGTTTCCTTCTCCAGTTCATTTTACAGATGAGGAGATTGAGGTGAATAATTTAAGTGACTTGCCTAGGATCATACAGCTACTAAGTGTCTGAGGCAGGATTTGAATTTAGTTTGATGAGTCTTCTTGACTTCAGGTCTGGCACTCTATCCACTACACCACCTAGCACAAATCACAATCGTTAGTTCTTCACTAAGTGAGATTTTGGCATTATTATGAATTTTCATTTCTAGAGATCTTTTGTAAAATTTTAATGTCGGGGTCAGGGTTAGGGTACTATGAAAGCAACAGTATATTTTTGCCACATGCCAGAACTATAGGGCCAGAATGGTTGGGATAATAATAACAATAATAATAATTGCCCTTTACATAGCACTTTTATTTTTGGTCTAGATCCATGACTGTGTTGGTATAGTGAACTTCTGGTGTTGAAACTCCCTCCATCAGTGCAGATCAGCAATTTGTTGGAAGGAGAGATAGAGTTTGAAACTCAAAACTTAAAAAAAAAACTTTAAAAATTATTTTAACATGTAATTGGGAAAAAATAAAATATTAAAAAAAAGCAACTGGTTGGTAACTAACAGTCTTGGAAAGTTATCTGAATTCACTATGAAGATGAGAGACTTGCCCATGGTCACATAGACAGTAATTTATAGAGTCAGGACTTGAACTCAGCTCATATTGAGCCCAAAGGTGGCCCTCTACCCACTAAATTATTCTACCTCTCATGTAACGACAATGACGATAATAACTAGCATTTCCTGAGTACTTAAAGGTTTCCGAAGTGCTTTGCGTATGGTTTCTCATTTGATCCTCACAACAACTGTATGAGGTAGGTATTATTATTATTATTATTATCATTATCATTATTATTATTATTATTACTATTCCCTTCTTACAGATAAGACTCCTGAGGCTAAGAGAAGTTAAATGACTTACTGAGGATCACACAGTTAATAAGTGTCACAGATAGGATTTGAATTCAAATCTTCTTGACTCCAAACTCAGCACACTCTCATAGAGCTCATAGATCCCAATATGAAATTTTCACACTTTATATACATTTCCTTATTAACTGTAACAACACATTCTCTTCCACAAAGACATTAATGAATTATTGCTGGAGCAGGGATCATTGGCTGGCTAGGCCTCTATCTTCAAGCCTCTCTCAGAAGCAGACAGGATGCCATCATAACTTCCTCCTCATGAC